CTCTCTCTCTTTGCCCCCATTACTCACTCTCTCAATAACCCAAAATTTGGGTTGGGGAAGGGATTTCACTTAAATGAGGTTTGACAATGATGAAAAGAGTATAAACTTTATGGGCAGTGTCACAAGCATTAAGCTCTTACATAGCCATCAGGGGTCATATTTCTGTAGGTCTCATGGACTAATTTAGAGATACTTGATTTAAAGCTCAAACGGAGAACTCTTTCACCTACTTCATGGCGAAGCTAGAGATATATTATTTAAGATGAGAATATAAGCTTGCTTGCAATGCTTTTGAGTATGGGAAGCTACAAAGCCCAGCAAAACACCAGCAAGTTTAAGCTTATTTATTTTCAGTTTGAAAGCCTAGAACCCCAAACAAACCCATAGCCATTTCTATGAGCCCATCGAAGGCGTAATCTATTTTCAAAAATCTCAAATTAATAATGCTTAGCGTAAGGAGTAAATATTATCTCTACAGTTGTAGAACCACTCTCTTGCAAGAACCCTTTAAATTTGACTGCAAGACATTTAATAAATATTTTTTGTTAATATTTTTTATTCTGATAATTAAATGGGACTGCAGAATGCATTTTCCTTAATAAATATGTTTAGTTCCAAGATAAAAATAAAACTTTTTTTTTTCTCATGAATTTTCATATACTACGCGCAAAAAAGATATTCTAAATAGCAAATTGAATGCCCTTAAACATGACGAACAACCATTCTCATTCTTGGGAGAGCATACTGTTGTTCTTGATATGTATGGTATAATATGCTCTTCCACTAATAATCTTACATATTTATCCTTTATCCACTTTATGGTTGTATACATTTAGATACAGATTGAACAACCCTATTTTTCCAAGTAGCTATAAAACCGCTCAAGACTCATGTTCGTATAGGTGGCCTACCAGCTTGTCATGTCACTATTCATGAATACAGCTCTAAGAATGAGCCACCCACTTAATGATAAATACAGTCAATAGCAAGTTCTGATGTGAGTGGTTTAAGAATCTATTTTAGTGCTAATAACTAAAAAGCAAGATGAGTATGAGGCTGGTTATGATCATTCTTGGAAACCTATGTTTGTACCCATCATTGAAAGGAAGTGAAGATAAGGCTTGGATATTGCTACCAACAGGCATCCAAACATATTCAATTTATTTATTTATTTTGTTTTATTTTTTACAATAGTTATGAGAATTATTATTAATCAATAACCAAATTAGATAGTTATGTGGAATAAAAACAAAACCGAAATTACAATAATATCACTTGCAACTACCCTTTCTCCACCCCTGTTTGGCTGAGTCATTTACCTAAAATTTAAGTTCACATAGCACATGTAAAAATGAAATATTAAACCCCCCACATAAATCTCTAATCTGAAACCATGTTAACCTTATAACTTTAATGAACATTTTTCAAAGCCCTACATAAATTAAAAACATTAAAAGAATCACCCTCAACCTCCACAACCTTCCCCAGATCTCTCCCTCACTAGCCGAAACCTACCCAAACAGTCCTAAATACGTAGCCGGAAAGAACCCATTTGATCTAATTAAACCACCAACACCTATAGGACAAGGATTACTAACTAAATGAGCTACCATCAAAATTCAGCTTGATAACCTTTTGAGGTAGAGCTTTCTTCCCCCTAACAATTTTCCTCTTAGGTTTAAGCATTTTGATAAATCTCACATAGATTAAATTGTAAATCTGGTTTGGAAACATCCCAGCAATCCTCCTCACCAAGACCAACTAACAAAGGACTCCAAAGTTCTCTTAATGCTCTCCTCATCCATTCTCACATTGTAGAAAACCCTCCTATTTTTCCCCTTCCAAATAGGATCTTATAATATTGATGCAGGTCATCCTTTGACAGGTGTCGTTTACATAAGGTTGCAATCTTAAACAATCCAATTATGACACACCTCTATTTAACATAAATGTAATTTTGATATAAAAAAATCGTTATAATGGCTTGAGAATCTATTTTCATCTCTAATTAGAAAATTCAAATCAAGTGGATCTATAACACATAAAAATCTTGAAAATGGACAGTCCATATAATGTGTTGCAAGATACACTATTTCGTAGATTTCGAATCTTTTTTTATTTTCATATTCATGCATCTCAAAGTCGAGATGATCAATTAGAGGTTTTCCAACATTCAAACAACCTCTTATGATGGATTTTTTAGATGCACCTTTAATTCTACATTTTTAATGTTTGCAACCTTATAAGCTCTTTCCTAGTTACTTCTTATAGTACATTATCCTATGCTTATCGGGGGACATGACTCCTTTTTCTAGATTATTGGTTACACAATGTACACACTTCAAGTGCAATTAGTCTGTATGCATGTACAGGATTGTTCTCATTGAGGGCATGATTAGTATTAGGTTGCCACCCACTTCATTATTATTACTATTCTTTTCTTTCAACTACCTAATGATGAAACAAACAGGCACATTTTTACTAGTATATGATATATTTTGGGATGATTCTTTCCCTTAGGTAAATGAAATCGAGGCAAATTGGTGAACAAGGACTTGTTTATTTATACTTGAATTGGTCCTCTAATTGAATCAATAGAATTTTATTTTATTTTTTCTTTTAAACGCCAATGTTAACTAAGGAATCAAAACAAATGTAATTTAAAAAGTATTCCATTTTGCAAGGAAAAGTACCTGTTTAATTTATTGTATCCTTTAATGCGATTGAGATGTGAGTGGGCTGTGGCATAGACATTCAAAAAAGTCAATCATGGAGTTCCATCTGGCAAATCACACTAATAAAAACAAACAAATAGAAAATTAAGCTCCCACAAGGATGTTGATAAAAAAATTTCAAAATAAATTTTATTGTTTTTGGACAAGAAAATAAGTTAAATTTTAAATTTTATTGTTAGTTGAAAATTGAGAAGGTATTGATAGCTTATTCTATTTGAGGAAGTTGAGCGGTGGATTTGAACTTGGGACACAGTGATAAAGACCCAAAGTTAAAGATAAATTGCATTTTTGGTTCTATAATATTGTATCATATTTAAAACTGGGGAGACGATCCCAAAGTTAAAGATAAATTGCATTTTTGGTTCTATAATATGGTATTATATTTAAAACTGGGGAAACGATCAAGGGCAAGCTTTATATGCTTCTCCTACTGCATAAAACTTATACGCTTCTCCCAATCCGGGTCCATTTTGAATGGACGGTTGAGATGGCCCCAATTACCATGTCATGTCTCTATACTATTTTATTTTCACTTTTTTTACAAATTATTTTGACAGAAAATTCTGAACATCCACTCTTTTCGTAAAGTTGCACCTGTAAAAATTATTAAACAAAATATTCTCAATAAAAAAAATGATTAAAATACCCATGAAAATTTTAAAGGGTATTTTGATCATTATATTTTATTTAAAAGTTATTTTTATTAATTTTTTTAGCTGCTTCCCATTGAGATGATGGCTAGTACCAAATTTCATAGTCATATAATTTGTATAAAAATATTCAAAAATAAAATATTCTGAGGCGTTGAATCTAGATCAAGCGGTTAGTGGCTCACTTGAACTAAATTGGACAGCTAGATAGGAGAAGTACATATCTTCTATGCAGTAGGGGAAGTATAAAAACTTTTCCCAATGATCAAACCACCTCAAGAAATCAACTCGTTAAAACAACTAATTGAATAACAAAGTGGTCACTTTTCAAAAATGATTCCATTCAAGTACCTCTATATTTTTTTATAAAAAAAAATGGCTAAAAGATAATTACTTAAGGAGGAACCATGAAAAAGGAGGGCATTTTGGCAAATTTCCAAGTAAAAATGCTTTCACTAAATAACTTAATTGCTTGTTCCAAGTTCCAAACCTGAGAATATAATTTTAATAAAAATCTATTTTCCTAATTTAAAAACTAGAACAAGCAAAGATTTTTATGTCTTTTGGCTCAAATGAAAGAAGTCAGTCTAGGTTACAAGAATACCCATAATTGTTTGAGGTTACAAACTTGGAAAAAGATTTCTTGATGAAAAACAAGTTAAAATTCAGGGAATGAGTAAAGGTATTTATCATATCTGGATCAACTAACTTAAAGGAAAATTGTTTCAAGCAGCCCAGACCAAGTACAAAGCATCTAATTAAAAATGGATGCAAATATGCGGTCCATTTAAAAATAATTGAAATTAATGGTCTAAATATTTTCTTGATAGAATTATCATATCTAATTGCTAAAATTTATTTATTTTTATATTATTGATCTCTGTGTTAGAGGTTACATGTCCTTAAAAATTAAGTCCAAAAATCCATCTCAAAAATAGATTTATAAAGGGTGACTCATTTCTACAAAGACGCATAGAAACCATGTCCTAAGGGTTAAATTTCCAAGATACCCTCATTTGTTCTAGGACTTGACCCTCAAAAAAAGGGCAATTTGGGTATTTTTAAATGATTCTTGAAAAAGCTCCTAAAATGAAATTATTTTTAAAGAAAAATGGTTTAATAGGGAAGCCCTATTAAAATAAGTGAAGCCTCACCTTATAACTCATCGAGAACTACAATTCAAGCATCAGAAAACCTTTATATGATCGACTTGAACATTATGTTTGTGAAAAAATTTAAGATTTTATGTTCTACAAATAGCATATATTCTAACAAATTAACTAGATTTTTAAATTTTATAGTTATTGGTCGAATTTGATTTTAGATAGAGATTTTACTTTCCATATGAGGATAGGAGGTGAAACTTTATTTTGTTTTCATAAAGCCCAAGCCTTATAGGTACTTCACCCATTTTTTTTAAATCTAAACCCCCTCGTTGACTTATCATGTGGTTTCACCATGCTAAGGATATTTTCCCTTAGAAAAAATATTTAATTAAAGAATAAAGTAGTAATCTTTTTCTCTTAGATGTGCCGTCCTTTTCCTTTGAATATGCGCTCTAAGAAATTTTGATTGGACCATATTGTGGACTATTTGGAGAAATTGGAAGCAACCATAGAAAGCACAAGCCATTTTATCTTTCTTAAGCACCAAACAACAATAGGAAGCTTAATACAGAGTACAAACTATTGTTGCATCCCAAAGGACATTAAGGCATGATACCCTTGAGTTACAAGTTCAATCTTCATGTCACCCTAGAGAGAGAGAGAGAGAAAGAGAGAGAGTCTACAAGCTCTCAAAGATAGATATCTAGAAGACTCAACTGTATAGAGAGAGAGTTCACAAGCCCAAAACCTAGATAAGAGAGATGCCACAAGCCCACAAGCTATTAGATAGAAAGAGATGCCACAAGCCCACAAGCTAGTAGCTATCATGCATAAGAGATAGAAATCCGGAGAGAGAGAGAGAGAATTAGAATGCCTCATCATCTCTAGGGAGTGGCTCATGAGTACGAATGATGAAGATGTTCTCATACACAAGCCCAGCTAGGGCCCCACCAACAAGGGGCCCCACCCAATAGATCCAATGGTTAGACCAGTCCCAACTGGCCAAGGCTGGACCAAAGGACCTAGCAGGGTTCATTGATGCTCCAGAGTAGGGCCCACCAGCCAAAATGTTGGCCCCCACCACAAATCCCACAAGCATGGGGCCCAACCCATCAAGCTTGCCCTTCTTGGGGTCCACCATGGTGGCATACACAGAGAAGAGCAAAGAGAAGGTCAAAACTATCTCCATTATGAGCCCTTGTAAGCTTGACACCCCATTTGAGAGGTTATGAATTGGAGTCTCCTGCCAAATTTAGCAACACTCTAGTTAGACTCAAATATGACAAATATGTAAGGATGGTAATGGGTCAGGACCAATTTCTCTTGTTTCGGGTCTGGACCAATCCTATAGATCATATAGGGTTGGCATCATGGTGGTAGCACCTTTACACCCTAATAACCACGTTCTGGTTTTCATTTCCACTAACACCATCCCATTAACATCTTAAAAAAAATTAACTTTTAAACTATTTAAAAAAGGCATGCATTTCCCAGTAAATTACCCGAGAAAATAAATTTATAGTAGCTGGGGTGGGTCTAGGTCTACTAGCAAATATACCCAACCAGGTATAGGACCGCCCAAGGCCTAACTGGGTTTGTTCGGTGTCAACACCAATACATATGTGTTCGTGTCCAAAACAACCACAGGAGTCCTTGTCTTTTTTCTAAATAGGATCTTTTTTTTTTTTGGTTGTTTAGTAGGGATACAGGTACCTACATGTTTTTTAAATCGTTAATGGTTTTCGAAGATGTTCTGAATTCTAAATAAGATTTAAAACTTAAGATGGAAAGTGTCATAAATGATTAATAAACCAAAGTCGTAACTTTGGATTTTCAATTAGGTTTTGGCTAGGGACTAAAATTGAAATTCTTGGGAGTCTCAAACTGTAAACGTTTTGGTCCAAATAAGTAAAGTAAGAAGTTCATACGAAGTTGGCACATTAAAATGAAGAATTAGGGTGAATTAAAGAAGGCTGTTATGGTGTTGGAAAACATCAAATTGTTTATCTTAACATCGACATGTATAGATATATGTATAAATATGGAAAAAAAAGATATTTTAATTCTTAAAAATAGTATATCTTGTAACACATTATCTTAACTATTCATTTTCAAGATTTTTAACCCAATTCCCTTTCGAAGCTCGCGCTAGCAGCGCTCTCGGACGGGCTTCCCTTGACTCTTAGGATCGACTAACCCATGTGCAAGTGGCATTCACATGGAACCTTTCCTCACTTCGGCCTTCAAAGTTCTCATCTGAATATTTGTTACTACCACCAAGATCTACACCGACGGCCGCTCCGCTTCTACTATCAATTGCTAATAAAGTTAATAAAAGAGACCTTCGAATGTATTAAAGGGATATCGGGATGTCTCTTATTAATATAATGACTAATGAATGAACCTGTAATTTGGAATAGAGTAATATGTTCCATGTAATATATGAGATAGATCTATCTAGGCACTCATACATAAATATATGAATAAATTAGGTTGGACCAAAACAAAAAACAGTTTTGTGTCATAGGGAGAATAGATTTTAAAAAATTATAATGGTCCATTTAGCACCTAATAGATATGTCATAGTAGATTCGAACACTTGTCCCTTTTAAATCTATTTGATTGAATCATTTTCCGCATGTAAAATTTTATAATTAGAGAAAAAATAGATTCTCGCACGCTTTGGAGAGAAAGAGATCGTTGAAGCAAGTAAGCAAGAAAAAAAAAAGAGAAAAAAGAGTCGAAAAAAATGCGATGAGAGAGAGAGATAGGGAACGCACCAGGCCACCGGTGAGGTACTTGAGAAGAACACAAGCAAAAGAGGAGCCAATCAATTGGGCAATCCAATACAGTATGGACCTGAAGACCGTTATGTGACCACCAACGAGCAAGCCGATGGTAACGGCCGGGTTGAGATGGCCACCGGACGTTGCCAAGCCGGCGGAGATCATAACGGCCACAACTAACGCATGCGCTATCGCAACGGCCGTTAAGGCCACTATGGAGTTCGATCCACCATTCAAAGTCCCTGCATTGTATAGATTCAAAAACAAATTAAATGGATAAATCAAATTTGGTTGAAGAAATAGAAACTTTAAAATAATGTAAAGAGAGAACGTGTTTTTAAATTTTTTTTCCATATGCCTCGCATGTCTCTTAAAAGGGAATATTAAAAACAACAAAAAAAATATCAAAAATATACAATATCACAAATTATATCAAAGGGTATATTTTTAAATTTCTATTTCAATTAAGTACATCATAAACCATTATTGTAAAATTATATTAGGAAGTTCAAAAAAAGCTAGTGGTACTTTTAACAATTTTAACGCCAAAGAACTACCAAAATATCTATAATTATTTTGGCTTCGCAACACCAAATAAGGTGATTTGAAAAAAAAATCGATATTTTCCTGAGAAAGTGTATAATTGATATAAAGATTTAAAAGTGTATCTTTAAGTGTAATTTGTTATCTTTTGATTCTCTAATAATAGGGTGCGGTTTGTATTGAGCTTAGGCTCTCTACAATCAAACTAGAGCCTACCTTCAAAACTATAGTTTTGAGAAATGTGGTTTCAATGACCACCCCAAGTGGATGGTTAGAGAGATAATGCATCATTTCTGTGTGAGAGAGAGAGAATAGATATATCTCCAATGGAGAGAGAAGTACCAGTAGCCATGGCAGCACCTACTCCTGCAAAGACAAAGAGGAAAGTGCAAACCAGCTCCGCTAGAACAGCCCTAACACAGTCCGGCTGAGAAGCCTCTTGCCTACTTCCCAATGCAATTTTCGCCATTCTCTCTCTCTCTCTCTTTCTCTCTCTACAAAAGGAGAAACCCCCAAAAAACGAAATGTTCAAAGTGCCAACTTTTAACACACTTTCTCTCTGTGTATCAACAGTGGGAAATACCCCTTCTTCGATTCCGCACCACCCATTCACGGCGTCAACTCTCTTATATAGTACAAGAGAGGATAATCATTTTTCTATTTTCATAGCAAAATGGATAAAAAACTATTTAGGTAAAAAATGGATAAAAAAATCGAAAAATAGATATTTATTCTTTAATGGGTCCATATGAAAATACAATATGAATACTTCAAATCCCAAAGTCGACGTAAAAGCATGTAGATATTCTTATCTTTTTCTCTCCAACAACTCTCACCGTAAAAAGTGGGGCTGCAACTGCAAAATTCAATAAACTTTTGGCTTCTTTATTTTTTATAATGTGATTATTATTGTATATAATTGCAAACTAGTTTATGGGCTTGTTCCCTTTTCTTTTTTTTTAATGGGCATCTCTGTGCATGACGATCGTATGGTAACGAATGAATGCACATTCACTCCTCCCAAAAAATACCCTTCTTTATCAAATATAGTTTATACAGAAAATCCACTTAAATAGTCACTTTATTGGCTTGACCTGTATAGATATAAAAACAATTGGGTTTAAAAGTTTTGAAAATAATATATTTTGTAAAATATTATTTTATATTATTTATTTTTTTTATTTTCAATCTGTATTATTTTTAAAACTTAACTTTCATGATTATGGATAAAAGTACTTTTTTTTTTTTTGGCCATCACAAACTTTTATGACTCAAAAAATAATTCTTTTAACATAATTTAGAGGTGTGCCTTGCTTGAATTGTTTAAGCTTGACGCCTCATACAAACTACACCTTTCTCTATTTTAGAGTGTTTGACAAACCTCTCCTCACGAAAATTTTTCCATATTCTCGTCATTTATATATATTTCAAAACTTCCATGCCAATCAATCTTGGCCTTTTAGAAATCGAAAAATATTTCAATAAGGTTGTGACCTTAAATTGAAGAATTAAGATACACTTCCAAAATTCATCAAAAAAATTGTTATTATAATGTTAAAAAATTATTTAATTAATCACCTCAACATCAAGACTTGTGGATATAAATAATAAAAATAATTTGAAATCCCTAAAATAGTACACCTTGCAAGTAATTATCTAAGCTGTTTAATTTCAAGATTTTTATGCACTTATAAACCTGTTTGATTTAAATCATTTTGGAGTTTAAAAGTTCATAATTAGAGATGAAAAATAGATTATCAAGCCTTCCTAAACAAAATTTTCACCAAAATTATATCTTACGACAAAGTTTTGAGGTGCTTGGTACTTCGATTTTTTTAAAATTATGCAAAGCTTAACCTTTAGGAATAGAAAAGGCATTTATAATTGCCATAAGAGGCGCACATCATATATTCAGTCCCTTTGAGTAAAAATCTTAAGTATTTTGAGGACTTTAATTTTGGGGTAGTAACAGCTCAGCGGCCTACCTATAAAAAATAAAAATTAATGACATCCTTGTATTTGCCAGAAAAAATTGCATTAAGATCAAAGAGACCGTCCAATTGTCGAAGTTCCAATTATGTATTTTGGATCTCAAAATAGGAGTTTTGCTTAAAAGACAAATAACTTTATTTTAAAGTATTCTCTAAATTTCAGATCTAAAAAATCAGTGAGGTAACGTATTTTTGGATTGTCAGTTTTCAAATTTTCATAGATATATTCGATTTACACTATTTTTGAAATTTAAAATTTTATAATTAATTCAAAAATATAATTTAAGACTGTCACTAAACTTTTCAATATTGAAATTATATTTTAAAATATTATTTAAAGGTGGACTTTAGCTTGATTGTTTAGAGCCCCGGCTCTATACAAACAGCAGGCATCTATCAGAAAAAGCCATCCTACATTTATTCAGGGCCAAATGGATATTTCAACAATTAAAAGGACGGCACAGGTATTTTAAGTAAAGTTAGGGTCACTTTAGTCAAACTTCTCATAATAAAGCAACAAAAGGGCGACAACCCGTATTTTAGAATTCAAGTACGGGAATCTTAGCTATGCAGTACCCGGATCGGTCGACACGTGTCACTTCAGCTGACGTGGTCTACTTTTTTGAGACGTGGTATTGAGAAGAAATCACATCAAATAATGAACCTTGAAAAGGCCGTACTCAAGTTTGAGGCCTCAAAAAATCGGTGACTTATCAGCAATTTACATTCAAATAATCGTGTTACAATTTAGAAAGAAATAAAATAAATTCATGTATGGTTAACAGCTTATATAAATTTTCTCCTTTACTCAAACGACGAGGTTTCTATGCCCGCATGTGTAGAAATGGAGGCTCCTTAATAAATTTATTTTTTTAAATGGATTTTATCACTTAAATGGAGGCTCCTTAATAAATTTATTTTTTAAAATGGATTTTATCACTTAATTTTTAAAGATATGCAATCTCTAACATAAGATCATGAATATAAAAAAATGAATAAACTTCAAAAGAATTAAAAATAATAATTTTAATAAAAAAACATTTGTGCTATTACTTTTTATTATTTTTTAATAAAACACCTACTTGCAACTATCTTTAAGATGGATATTCTGCACAATAAAACACCTACTTGCAACTCTCTTTAAGATGGATGTTCTGCACTTTGTGGACTGGATATGTAGAAATACGGCCCAACATGTATGAAATAATTTTCCTTACTCAAATGAGTATTGGTGATTGAGACCAACATTAACTTGTATGGAGTTAGTGCTCAATTTCGTGTTGTCACTTAATAATCATTACTTGTGTCATTGATAAGACATTATTTGGGATTGTATACAATAGGTATGCACTTTATGTTGAAGGTCACAATAAGCCAGGATCATATTGGATATTTTATGTACAAAAAGGTCTCGTAATTAATGGACGTGAAATTCAACATATTAAAATGTAATATAAATTTTTAAAAAATTTATTTTAGACTTGGTGCTTAATTAACGTATCCCCAACTAATCAATAAATGATTATGACTTTTTTGTATACTAATCAATAAATGATTATGACTTTTTTGTATAAAAAATAATGCTCTTATTATAAATATTTTGTTATTATTTTGATTTGTTCAATATTAAAACACTAGATCGAGACTACTTTGACTCATTGGACTCAATTTGACTCTGATCAAACCTATTGAACTCAGGCCCAGTACATTCGAACTTGGTAATCACGCCCAGCACTCTCCCAAGTGCAAAATACCTTTGAACTCAAGTGAGGGGGACACTTGTGGACAATTGCCGTTGAGATATAATAACCATAGTTATCAATACATGTCCAAACTGATGATACAACAGATTGGACCACCGACCGTTGCATTCGTTTGTCTAACCCAAAGTGAAAACGAACTTTCACAAAAAAAAAAAAAAAAAAAGAAGGTCAAAATCAGTGTCTGACTAGTTTCGGACAACCCAACCAACCGGTTTTGATTAGTTTAACTTGCGAAACAAAGTTGGAAAATACCTATTTTTAGTATGTTATATATTTTTAAATAATTATTCATGGTTTTCTTTGTAAACCCCAACTACTTGAGAAAAAGCTATGATGATAATGGTTCATGATTTTTTTTATATATTTTAAAACCTAATTAAACATATCAAACAATAGTCAAACCGATTTTGACTAGACCAATACTCTAATCTGTTCAATGACCGATTGGATCTTAATAACACCGATTGTAATAGCTCGCCAGTGTGTACCAAACTTTGGTGAGTTCTTGATTGCGAGTCTTTTCAAAAATACAAATGGGGGGAGAAATCTCGCTCCTCATTGAAGCATCCTTTTAAGCCTAAAATCTTGGTTGTATGCTCGTTTCACATGATATATTTATTATCTCGATCATATTTGAGGGAAAAACTTATGGGATTGTATATTATAAGACCTCTTATCTTTCATATAAGCAGGTCATAATTATTCTTAGCACTTAGATATCAAATTGGATGGTTTGAGACGTGTCACGAAGTTCAAGATATTTTTTTTTTTGGAATTATGTCTAGTCAATAATATGTTCACAACTACCAAATTTGAAATATGACAAACAATAGTGATTATGACCTCCTTATATAAAAAGTAAATGGTCTCTTCGTATACTTTTCCAAATCATATCTATTCTCATAAAAAAACCATCAAGATTCTCATATTTGCGAGAATTTTTATTGAGAGTTTATTATTCACCCCAAAATTTCAAGAGATGATGCCCCAAATTTAAATTTAAAATATTTTATAAAAGATTTCTAAAAATTCAACAGCGTGACATTGTGACATGAGCGATCCGAGCTGAACATTAAGATCGAATGATTGAGAAGTGGGTCGAATATAACTTAATGGTCATATTACAAATAACCCCCAATGATACACTTCCTATACAAGTTACCCCCAACCCAACTTTTCTCTCATTTTTTCTCCATAATATACTTTCTTAACAAATACCCCCAAGTACAAAAAGGCAATTTTTTTACGAATATACACCTTTTTGTACAAATAATAATAATATTGGCCAGACATTCACGTGGGCATACGCACAGTACCAATAGCCACATGGGCTGCCGAACCACCATAAACCCATTGTCGGACCCCATTAATTAAACTAAAAAACTGCCGGATCGCATTCATTCTCTGCCAGAACGCATTGTGTTCAGGAAAAATGTGCCGGACTGCTTATTCAATTTGCCAGACCGTACTTTTGTCCATAAAACAAGTGCTAGAGCGCGTGTATGTTCTATCGAACCGCACTTTTGTCCAGAAACAGCAATGCTAGACCGCTTATTCAATTTTCCGGATTGCAGTTTTGACCAAAACGAAAGTGCCGGACCGCATGTCTATTCTACAGGATTGCAATTTTGACTAGAACAAAAAGTGTTGGACCTCTTGTTTTGACTGCCGGACCTATGTTTTGATCAGAACGAAAAGTGTCAGACCGCTTGTTTTGACTGTTGGACCACAGTTTTGACTGAACGAGGGAAAGAGGAGAGAGAGAGGCATGGGTAAAAGTGTTACGGTAGTTTAGTCTCTTTTCTTTTTTTTTCTTTTTTTCTTTTTTTCTTTTTTTTGAGGTAAAATTAGATGGGGAGTAAGTTGCAATAGAAAGTGTATA